TGCTGCCTTGACCGTGTATGTTGGTGGTTCGAAGGCTGGGGAGAGGGAAAAACAAAAAGTGTGCGGGGAACGCCGATAAGGGGAAGAATGAAGACAGACCTCAAGCTCCCACCCTTTCCCTCCTCCGATCGTCCGCCTCGCGCCCACCCCTATTCTATGTCCACGTCCACTAGGCCCCAGGGAGCCTCTGCTTGGCCAAGGTTACAGCGAAATGCATATAACAGACCCTCGGTGTAACAGAATTCTCGTCATAACCAACAGAGGCCCGAAACTGTCAAAACTTACCTGCATTTAACGAACAAATGTCGTCATTCAACTGAAGTTGATTGCAAAGCAAATCAGCAGAGGTGAAAAATCTTTAATCCTATCATACGAAAAAAAAGACAAATCTACGAAGCGTGGACAACGAGTAATTCCTCTTTCACTTAGTCCGTCGTGTGTGACGCGAAAGAAAACTGCGAGAAAAAAAATGGCCGCGCGAAATCCTGGGGCCAAGACCGCGAGAGAAAACTGTCCGCGCGAATTCCTAGGGCTTTTACGTGGCCAATTTTTTTCTCGCGGTTTATTTGCGGTCACACCAGACTAAGCGAAAGATAGACTACTCGTAGTCTATACGAAGCTTGGCTTCAAACTACTTTTTGTAACACCAATTTTACCAACGACATCATGTTTAAATTTTATTCTTACTTTCTTTATAGCTCGGCAGTGCTCGTCTCGCGGCGGAGAACTCCAAATTCACGTGAGACAAGACCACAGAGTCGATGTCGCTGGGAAAGCTGTTCTAGTTCTACAAGGAACTCTACACTTGTAACGACATTCATTGCACTCGTCACGCAACACACTTCTCGTTACTGGCGTTGCGTGATGGCCTAATTTAGTAATGGTTGTGAAGGGGTGTAAACAAAATATAGTAATTTTAGTTCTAAAGATTAACACTTTAAGATTTGAACAGTCACACATAATTATCATTTAATTTAAATTAAAAAGGTCTCAAAGGTCTGTTAGCCCCGGTGAGTACGGTTTGTCGTGGAAAACTTTTCCACGTCGCTTTTGTTTTTTGTTAGTACAAAATGTGAATACACGTTTTTTCTTCCCACGGTTGAAGGAAATATCTAGGTATATAACGATAATAGCTAAAAAAANGAATTCTCGTCATAACCAACAGAGGCCCGAAACTGTCAAAACTTACCTGCATTTAACGAACAAATGTCGTCATTCAACTGAAGTTGATTGCAAAGCAAATCAGCGGAGGTGAAAAATCTTTAATCCTATCATACGAAAAAAAGACAAATCTACGAAGCGTAGACAACGGGTAGTTCCTCTTTCACTTAGTCGGTCGTGTGTGACGCGAAAGAAAACTGCGAGAAAAATAAAATGGCCGCGCGAAATCCTGGGGCCAAGACCGCGAGAGAAAAATGGCCGCGCGAATTCTTAGGGCTTTTACGTGGCCAATTTTTTTCTCGCGGTTTATTTACGGTCACACCAGTCTAAGCGAAAGAGAGACTACTCGTAGTCTATACGAAGCTTGGCTTCAAACTACTTTTTGTAACACCAATTTTACCAACGACATCATGTTTAAATTTTATTCTTACTTTCTTTATAGCTCGGCAGTGCTCGTCTCGCGGCGGAGAACTCCAAATTCACGTGAGACAAGACCACAGAGTCGATGTCGCTGGGAAAGCTGTTCTAGTTCTACAAGGAACTCTACACTTGTAACGACATTCATTGCACTCGTCACGCAACACACTTCTCGTTACTGGCGTTGCGTGATGGCCTAATTTAGTAATGGTTGTGAAGGGGTGTAAACAAAATATAGTAATTTTAGTTCTAAAGATTAACACTTTAAGATTTGAACAGTCACACATAATTATCATTTAATTTAAATTAAAAAGGTCTCAAAGGTCTGTTAGCCCCGGTGAGTACGGTTTGTCGTGGAAAACTTTTCCACGTCGCTTTTGTTTTTTGTTAGTACAAAATGTGAATACACGTTTTTTCTTCCCACGGTTGAAGGAAATATCTAGGTATATAACGATAATAGCTAAAAAAA